CGTGACAGTGATATTTAACACAAATTAACAAAGAAACTAAGAGTGATGCTTAGTAAACCACGGCTTTGGATAACAGCAATGCATCAATTGTAACAAAAGTGCCAAACTAATGTAAGCTATTAATAATAGGGAAACTGTGGGGTAGGTAGGAAGTATATGGAAATTGCCTTCTGCACAATTTTTCTGTATAAAACTACTCTAAAAAAATAAAACCTTATTTCTGTTAAAAAAAAAAAAAAAAACCAAAGACAGGCAGGAACAATGTAAGAAACGGAGGCTATAAAGAATTAGTCATGTGCTGGTGGAGAGGCTCAAGTGGTAGAGTACCTGCCTAGCAAGTGTGAGGCACTCAGTTCAAACCCCAGTGCTTCCCCCCAAATAAAAAATAAATAAAATAAAAGCTTAAGAATCAGTCATATATATGATCAACATCATTACATTTTATTTTTAAAACAAACCAGTACATATACATATAGATATTCAAAAGTTGTCCCTCACAGAAACATACCTTAGTAATAAATCAATTTTCCTACCTCAGAAGATTACTCTGTATCATGGGTTTAAGAATGGTTAACTTTGGGAGTAGAATTAAAGATTATTTTTATTTTTTGGTCAAGAAAATAGCTTTGAAGGACATTTCAATTTCATGACTAATTTATTTATATCTACAATATAGGATCACTCTGCAGAATGGGGAGCAGGATCAATAACTGCCAAGTATTTGGTTTTATTTTTTTGGCAGCACTAGGGTTTGAACTCAGGGCCTCACTCTTGCTAGGCAGGTGTGCTACCACTTTAACCACTCTACCAGCCCTTTTTTGTGATGGATTTTTTTGAGATAGGGTCTTGTGTACTATTTGCTGAGGCTGGTCTTGAACTGTGAACCTCCTGTTCTCTGCCTCCTGAGCAGCTAAGATTACAGGCATGAGCCACTGGCACCTGGTGAATGAATGAAAGGGAAACATCACACTGTGCAGTATGTGTGCGCGCGCGCACTATTCTGCAACATACATTTTTTTGTTTGAGCATTTATCACTGAAAAATTTCCCCCCAAAATTAAACAACAAACATCAACCCCACACTACTTCATTAAAACGGAAGTCCATTGTTCTTGGCCTTTTGGCCAAGATCAAGTGTAGTATCTGCTCTTACCAGTTTAACATCTGACAGAGCCTCTACATGAGGACAATGTATTACATGAGTTTTTGGAGCAGGGAGGTGGAAGAGGAGCTTGCTCCGTCCTTACCACATATCCACCTGGCATTGCAGTACCTCCAGGAACAGTGCACCAATAAAAGTAAAATGGAAGTCCATTTTGTGGAGACTCCACCATGTGTTTAATCCAGTGGTTCTCACTGGGAATGGTGCTGACGCCATCTGGAGAGAGTCTGAGAATGTATGTGGTAGGGCAGGCCATTTCCTAGTCATTTTTAGGTTGTTAAAATGAGGAGGCTCCAGGCCCTTGGTACCCTTGGCCGAAGATGCTAAACTTACTACACTACTAAAAACCAGCCTGGCCCAATGTGCTTCTGTTTAGATCACTGATTATCAACCTCTGCTTTGTGGACTTGAGACTGAGCAAATTTTTGTTCTTACCAACATTTTAATGAATGTCCTAGTTCAAATATCTTGCCTAATTGTTTTAGGTGAATTTGTAGAAGTGAAATTATGGACTGAATCATATCCACATTTTAGACATAAACTAACGAACTGTTCTCTAGGAACATATGATATCATCTCTAAAAAATGGTGTTTTCATTTCACTTCATTTCAACAGTCAGGCTAAATATCTTTTTATATATTTCTTGGGAACTAGCCTTTTTAAGTGTGAAAATTGTTTTACTATAGTGTTCATCTTTTTCTTATTGACTTAAGAGTGCTTTGAATTTTAGGAATTCTAATTTTGTCAAAAATATAAAGTCTATTTTCATTTTGTTACCTGTTTTTCAATATTGTCTTTTTTTTCCCCCAGTACTGGGCACTGAACCTCAACAAGCACTCTATCCTTTTCTTTGTATTTTGAGACAGGACCTCCCTAACTTTGCTCAGGCTGGCCTTGAACTCACACGCCCCTCACATCCACCGCCTGAGTAGCTGGGATTATAGGTACCTTCCATGTCCTGCTCAGTATTGTTTATATAGGTTTTTTTTCCTATCTAAATAAGCTTTCCTTTTTATGCCATCAAAACTAATCTTTTTCCTTTGTGGCCCTTTTGATCTTATAATACTTTATATAATAGTAGTGGTTTTCCCATTCCAAGATTACAAAAATGACAGTTCATGTTTTCTATTAGTATTTTTTGTGGTATTCTATTTTTGTATTTAAAATTTTGACCTGAACTGTATCTTAATTTAAGGTGGAAGGAAGTGTTGTGAATTTTTTGTTGCTACTGTAAATTGATTCTTTTAAGCTTTACACTTTGTCAATGATTGCAGTTTCAATATTTATATTGTAGCTGACAACCTTACTGAATTCTTTAATAAGTTTTAATAAAGTTTCTCTTGAGGTATTAAATAATAATCATGCCATACACAGTTAGCAACTTTGTCTTTCTTCTATTTTTTGTCTCTTTTCTTTTTCTTGGTCTAACTAATAACGTTGACTGCTGGCACAGTTGTCTCATTTCTGACTTGAGTAGGAAGATCGCTAGTGTTTCAGTTATATAATGTTGACTGATCAATATTTTCCTAATAATTCTCACCTCCTATAAATGTACAGGACACTTTATGGGATGTTTTAGATAGCTTCCCTTTCAAAAAGCTGTGCATGACAGCTCCTGTGCTGTGAAAGTGTAATAGGAGGGAGAAAAAATAAAAAGCCATGTCAATACACACAAACAGCTGTCTTCTTTAATTTTTTAATATATTACTCAAGAAGGCAGTAGCTTAGTAATGCCTATAGGATGTTACAAGGTAGGAAATACTTTATTTTTCATACTTCCTGATGAAACTTGGTCCCTGGTACTTTTGGCAAGATTATGTCCTAGATAATAAAAGCTATTCCTACAGAGTTAGTTCTAAAACATTTTAAGTGGATTAACCTTTCAGCGTGGTTAGTTTATAGAGTCCAATATGAAAGCATACTTAGACTGTCTTGTTTTAAGACATGCATACTTTTTACTCTAAGTACTTCATACAGACAAATGTAAACTCTTTAATACAGCTGACATTTTAGGCTTAATCAAAAATTCAACACAGAGACCCTGAGGTTCAAAGCCCAGCACCAAAAAAAAAAAAAAAAAGTCAAGGCAAATAATAACAATAGATGCTAAATACCTGGCAGAGGAGGAAAGGAAATACCCTCTTACCTGCACTTCGATTTGCAGGTCTTTGTCTAGGAGTGCCCTCTTTTTCAAGATTTCTGCTTTGAGTTGCTCTTTGTGTTTGAAAAGCAGAGCCGAGAGCTTAGTAGCATTTTGCTTGCTCCGTTTCTGTTCCACACTCTCTTCACGCTTCCGTTTTTTTGCTGCCTGTTTTTCTTCTTTATCTATCTTATCCAAAATGTACTTCATCACCTGGTTACAGACAATCATTCTAGAGAAAAATACACAACCTATGAAATGCTCGGTGTTTCATTCTGAAAGGCTTAAGACATGATTCTTCTATGTTTCCCTATAGGTGACAGGCAAACTTTCTGTGACTACAAAGCCTCAAAGAGTGACTCAAACCTGTTATGAGTGACTATTAGTGCCAGGTTAATAAACTTCAACCAAGATTTAAAAATGTAAATGTAGTCTGTTGCCTGTGCAGGCTACAGAGAAGAGTCTGCTACACGAGCCCTGTGCTCCCTACCTTTGATTGTCTTCTCGCTCAGCTGGAGTCATGGTCTTTTTCTGTTTTAAATGTTCTATTACAGCATTATGCTTCATCACCACCTTTAGGACAAAACAAATCCAAAAGTGCACACTTTATAATGTTTTATACAAGGCAGTACTCGGGTAACAGTAGAAATCAGAGCACACAGCTGTTTTCTGAAGAAACAGTAAGAATTTTATGTCATTAATATAATAAAATCAGCAGCTGCTAGATGGGCCTGGGTGCTTACCACGCACTGACAACTGGGTTAAGCTAAGCATTTGACATTACCTTATTTATTCTTTGTAGTACACTGCACCACAGAGATAATTTCACAAATAAATACTGAGACATACAGAAATTAGCCAACTTGTTTAAAATTAAATAAGCTATACAGCCAGAATTTTCACCTATTATGTCCAAGGCCTTTAATACTATGCTCTTTTCTTAAGACGTTAAAGAGTTGCCCCCACCCTGCCTTATACAAAGACTAGGAAGACAGACAGAATTCTTGTAAGAATATTAACTCACATATATGAGCTCAGTTTATAATTATAGTAATTTTGTATGGCAGGAATGAGGATACAGCTCAGGGAGATAAGAGTTTCTTGAGTTGTAACAACTTGAAATCCACACTTTTACCTATGGCCTAGTGCTGAGGTGAGCACACTGAAGAGGGACATTTTCTCCAGTTATGCTATAGGATGTTGCATGTGTGATTTCATTTTAATACAATATTTCTAACTCATCCAAATTGCCTTACTTTACTAAGATGCTATTGCAAAATGTCCCTGCATTATGCTACTTTTTATGTAAGCTATGGAAAAGTATGTATTTAAAACATTCTTAGAAAGGTGTGGCTTAGAAATGCAAATGAACTTAGTCTATCTACAACTTGCTTTGTCTATATGAAAGAGAAGGAATGAAAACTGCAAATAACTTCAAATGAATTGTCATAGGCCTGAAGGGGCTGTAAGACTCAGCTAACACTTCTAGTTTTGTATTAAAGATACTTGAACTCAGAACTCCATTCTTCCCATCTTAGTTTTCCCAAAAGACAGGCAGTTTCTAATAAGCACTGACTCTTGTTAGCTGACAAAGAGTTTCAAACCATCATAGTTGTTCAATGTCTTTGGTCCATCCAGTGCTTCTTCTAAATTTAAACATCAGCAACTTTGTCTCATTTCGGAAACCTAACACAACCAAACACTAAGTCTATTGCACAGCCCAATAATTCGAGCTACTGAACATGCTGCTTTGACTTAATAACTTTACCTGTTTCTGAATGATTTCGCTTTGGTTAGAAGCTTGGAGGGTGTGTTCACGTTTAATTTCTATCTGTTGCTGTTTCTTCTTTTGCTGCTGATCCCTGAGTTGCTGAACCCTGTGCAACTGCTCTTGCACACTGGCTGCCTGCACTGTCACCACATTCTGAATCTGGTGAGTCTGCACAGCACTGCTTTGCTGAATTTGAATGGGTAACTGGAGTTTGATTTGCTGGGGCACACCACCTTGCTGAGCCTGTATCTGAGCCACAACCTGCGACTGGATCTGAGAGAGAACCTGGACTTGTTGTAGCTGAGGCACAGCAATGACTTGGGGCTGTGGCTGAATTTGTAGCTGAGGACGGGATGGGGATGAAACAGTAACTTGATTTAACGTTTGTCCTGATGAAAGAGTTTGAGTTGAAGACTGTACCTGGGGTTGTGACTGTGGCTGGCCTTGGGAAGGTATCTGAAGAGATGTGTGTGGCTGAATTGGAATCGGTTGTGAGGTTGTAGTCTGAATCTGGGACTGCTGTCCAGGAGACACTTGGGATGGAGTTGATGGACGTAATCGAGTCTGTGGTGGACTCTGGACACGAACAGGAGACTGTCCCTGGACAGTACTCTGAGGCTGACATTGTGCTGCAACTTGGGGTTTGGATGACTGTGCTTGGGTGGGCTGTGCTTCAGAAGGGATATGAGATGAAACGGCTGTCTGGGGCTGGGCTTCAGGCTGGGTCTGAACTTCAGGCTGCACTGGGGACTGGGGCTGGGGCTGGGGCTGTGCTGAAGGCTGAGCAGTCTGTGGCTGGGTTTCTGCAGGGCTCACACTTGATGACTGAGTTGGTGGCAGGGTTTTGGCTTGTTGCACCTGTGTCTGAGGTGATAATTTATTCTGTTTTTGTTCACCTGAACCTGTGAAAAGGAGAGACAAACAATATCTATTACTCTAGAACAAAAGAACAGAAGACATAAGCCTTTGAAATAGGTCACTTACACATGCTTGGGTTAGGACTTTTGTACATTGGAGAGCCAAGGTCCTGTTTTCTTACCGCCCTCTACATGCCTCTAACTCTCCAAAGGGCTGGCTTCCAAAGTAAGGTGCAGCCTGTGAAACCAGCAGGTGTTCTGAGCCAGACTATCTCAAGCCTCATTTTCCCTTAGGGTATGGTGGCATTTGGTGACAGGGGACTAATAATAAAGTGGTCTGGACCTGTAGCTCGTAGACTGAGCTGCATGGATTTACCCTTTCTGAAATCAGATCCCTGACACTCCATCAAGGCTTGGCAAGGAGTGAGTGTGAGCACAGTTGTCCATTATTTTACAGCCTTTCCCTACTTTTTTTGTATTTAATGGGGCGTGGTGACAGGGAGTCTGTAAGAATGAGACATAAAAGCACTGAGATGTCAACTGTAAACCTCACTGGCTTGAGGCACAGCCTCCTGAAGGTAAGTATTGGTTCTCTGTTCTCTGTTAGCCTAGCAACAAGTGGTAATGACATTCAGCATTTTCAAAGAGTCCAAAGCCCTACCTGCTGTTGCAGTGGAAACAGTGGTGGTGGTGGTGCTGGCGGTCGTGGCTGTTGTTGTCAAGGGGGTAAAAAGGAATCGCTGCACAGTACCATTTGGCATCGCAGCTTGCATGAGCTGCTGTCCTGGGCCAGGGAGGATAGTCACCCCTTGAGGTATCAACTGCAACTGTCCAGTAGTTTGACCTTGTCCTTGAATTACTACTGTCAAACCTTGATTGCCACCCTGTGGAGAAAAAACACACAACATGTAAACAGTGTTCAGAGCACCAATCTGTAAACCATTTTTTATTAAATAATTTATATGTTGTAAAAATTTGTGCACACAATGGATATATATACATAAGTATATATGTAGTATATTTGAATATCTATGGAATGACAACTGAAGACTTTAGATAAGCTAAGATAAAGTTATTTGAATTGCTTATTAGAAAAAGCATGAGCAACTGGAGCTTTAGTTGAAGCTCTCCAAATGGGAAGCCAGGTATCTATCCACAAGTAACATCATTCCCTCAGATCCAAGTTCTCCAAACTATAAAATAAGGGCATTGGCCAGGTGCCGGTGGCTCATGCCTGTAATCCCAGCTACTCAGGAAGCAGAGATCAGGAGGATCGAGGTTCAAAGCCAGTCCAGGCAAAAAGTCTGAGACCCCCCTATCTCAAAAAAAAAAAAAAAAATCACAAAAAGGGCTGGTGGAGTGGGTTCAAGTGGTAGAGCACCTGCTTTGCAAGTGTGATGCCAAGAGTTCAAATCCCAGTGCCACCAAAAAAACCCCCCAAAACAAACAAACAAACGAAAACGATAAAGTTCTCCATCTGAAGACTATAGAGTTGGGATTTATTATATCTTGCCTGTATGAAGATTCTTCTTTGAGTCCACGAAGCAGCCATTTCTTAAAATACGTAACTTTGGAACTTATCAAAATAGGTACATGTGTTTGAACTTACAGCAAGACTAAATCAGATCATGTCTAAAGTTCAAGTGACGTTATTACTTACGTGGCCCTGTGTTAACTGAGTCAGTTGAGCCATGGTAAGCTTCACCTGTCCTTGTTGGGGGCGAGGGGGTTGTGGGGTTGAAGACTGTAGATTTGTCGTGGATGTTCCAGGAGTTAGGCCTTTGTGCCCAGGTGTGGAGGATGCTGTGCTTGGGGCAGAGATGGCAGTGGAAACAGGCTGCCCTCTGATGATCTGAGTCACCACTTGCTGAGGAGCACCTGCACAAATAGCAAAGCATCTGAATGGTCATATGCCCTTAGCAGCACTCCAAACTGAAATAACTCAACACTTCAGACGAACATACTCAGTTTTGCTTTCAGAAAAACTGTAATGGCCACAAGCCCAATTATGCATTCAAATACAGGCCAGAGTCAAAGGACTCGCCTAATGGCAGCTGAGTGAAAACTCAGCTCACTAACAACCAATATCCAGTCCCTACTGTCTGCAGTAGAGTGGAAATACAATATTCTTACTATGTATCTAAAGCCAAAATAAAGAGAATAGGTAAAATGTGCCACTTAGTAGGATGCTTTTTCTTAGAAATTCTTGTGAATTTTAATAAACCATCAAGGATTTCAACTCTCTGGAGCCAGCTGCATTTACAAATAAGCTTGTCTTCCAGCAGTGTGGGAGAAAGCATGGGGCAAGCCCACACAATCCTCAACACTAGGGCCAAGTGGTCCAAACAGGCCTTATGGTAACTTCACCAAGTGTCCACTGAATAGGTGAAGTTTAGCTGAAATGGCTCTGGAGTTTTCTAAAAATTTCTGTTTCGGGTGAACTAGAACAAAAGGGCAGGTGGATTGCCTCCTCCTGCCCCTGGCCAGGAGTAATTATTTGGTAGATAGTTTGACATTTATAGATTTATTTCTATTAATGAATAACATCACATTTCTTAAGTTTTACATTTACTTTTTTTCCTTCTATGAATATGCCTGTATTTCTTTGCTATTTATTTATTTATTCATTTATTTAGGTGGTACTGGGAATTGAACTCAGGGTCTTGTACAATCTAGGCAAGTGCTCTACCACTCAGCTACATCCCCAGCCCTGTTATGCACTTTTAAACAATACATTTTTTCCATCCTGCCTTTCATGTTTTATTTCTAAACCTATTGACGTTTTCTAATGTGTCAAATGGGCTAGTCTTTTGGGGCTGTAATTATTACTTGCATGGTTCTACATTCTTGCACTCTCTCACTATATATATTCACAAGCATGTTCCTGTAGTAAACACAGTGCAACACAGTTTATTCCTTACCCCAAACTACAAGCTAATTCTGCTAGCATAATCTGATTCAAAATGACATCTTCTTTGTCCTGCAGGAAATTCTCATATTTAATTAATTATTATTTTTCTTGGTGGTACTGGGATTGAACCCAGGGCCTCTTGCCTCCCCTTCCCCCCAACCCCAGTCCTTGCTTTTGTCTTTTAGACAGGGTCTCGGCTAACTTTGCCTAGGCTGGCTTCCGTCTCCACCTCCAAGGAGCAGGCATATATCACTACACCTGCCTCTTAAAGGGCTGTGGATAGTGCTTCATGCCGTAAGTCCAGCTACTCAGGAAGCGTAAGTAGGAGGATCATAGTTCCAGGCTAAAAAAATTTTTTTCTTTTGAGACCCATTCAGTAAAGTAACTAAAGCAAAAAGGCCTGGTGCCTGGCTCAAGTAGTAGAGTATGTTCCCACCAAGCACAAAGTCTAGAGGTTAAACTCCAAAATGAAGGGAAAAAAAAAGTTACATTTTAGGTGATTACCTGGTCCCAACACACTGCTATCATAAACATAGAGAAATAAAAGGACTGGTAGCAATTAATGGTGTATTAGTAATATTACAATAGACATCCAGATAGTCCAACAAAAACTCAAATTCAAGCTTCTAATCTCAGTACTACCAAGGCAGAGGCAAGAGGGGCTTGAGTTGAAATCCAGCCTGTGCTGGCTTTTTGAGACCCTGTCTCAAAAAACCAAGGGCTGGTATGTAGCTGGCTGGTGGAGTGTTTGCCTAGCATGTGCCATACCTTAAACACACTCACCATTCTCTCCCTCTCCCAGCCCTGTCATCCCTGGGCCTGGCCACATCACTGGTAATCTTGCTATCCCTTCAATGTAGCAAACCCATTTCCACCTTAGGCCTTTGCTGCTCCTTCTATGTGAAAGTCATTTCCCCAGATACTAGCATGGCTCATGTGACTATGCAGGTTCCACAGACTGTGATTTAAATTTCACCTTTCACTAAGTCAACATCCCCACAATCATTTCGAAACCTCAACTCTTCAAAATTTATACCCCCCTCCTATTGCTAAAGTATTTGTCATTAACATGTTATATGTAAATTTTACATACTATTATGTATAAGAATACACTCAAATTTTTATGTATATATATATTTATTTATTTATTTTTAATCTGGTTATTATCTACTTTTCCCAATACACTGTCAATTTCACGAGGACGGTAATTTTGTCTGATCAGTTCACAACCTGTAGTCAGCTGAGCCTGGAACAGTGTCTGCACATTGGTAGTATTTACTGAATGAATAAATGCACATCTGGATTAGGGAATCAGACAAATCAAGTCTGAATCCCATCCAGCTTAACAGCTTGAGAAATGACTCAACATTCTGGGTTTTAGTTTCTCTATCTATAAAATGGAAACAATTTTTAGTACCTACTTGATATGATTAAAGTATATATGTGAAGAGTATGTACTGGGCACAGAGTAAATGATCAATCTATGAAAGGTATTATTACTGCTATACTATTGAGGACCAATTATTTGAAGACAGACTTTGGCGAAAGGACATTAAATGCGCACAGCACAGGTGGGTGCCGGGACTGACCATTTCACCATACAATCCCATTCTTGCAGGGTGTTTAAGACTTCAGGGGGCTGCAGAGTGGCTCAAGAGCACCTGTCTAGCAAGCATGAGGCCCTGATTTCAAACCCCAGTACTGCCAGAAAAAAAAAAGTTTCAGGGAAGAAAAGTGGCCGTAGCACCCCTCCAGTTCCTGGTGGAAGGTTGGAAGCTCTAGATTCATATGTGCGTATCACACAACAGACTGTAGCCACATAAAGCATTAGGAAGCAAAGGCTCAGTATATACGCAGTACTATCAGTATTTATAGTTTATTTAGCCATTTACCACATTTTTTTTTCCCTCCCGCCCTCCCTAACTCTCTCCCTCCCTTCCATCCTACCTTTGTGACACTGAACTTTGAACTCAGGACTTTTCACTTGCTGCTCAGTTTCTAAAAATCTTACTATTTAACATGTATAAATTTTATTTTCTTCTTTGTATTAGTCATCCTTTCTTTTAGTTACCTGTCTAACGGGCAGCTGTTAAGTTTTAAACCAGAATTCTAAATTTTATCAAATGTCTCTGCAGTATTAACTGAAATAATATCATCCTTTCTGTTGTAGGGTAAATACTGCTTAGACACAGAAGGTTTTTTTGTAAAAAACAAAACCAAACATCCCCCTCTCCCCCTCCCCCAACTATGCTGTTTCATATTGGAATTGTGTTCAGGGCTAGGGGATGGCTCAAGAGGTAGAGCACTTGCCTAGCAAGCACGAGGCTTTGAATTCAAACCCCAGTACCACCAAAACCAAAAAGAAACAACAGAACTGTGTTCGATCTTCAAAATAAATAAAAATATTTTATGAATCCTTCCTCCCGTGCACAGGGATTGTGTTTCATAATAAGGTAATTGTTTCCTAACCCTCTTGAAGAATTCTATCCATAAAACCATTAAGTATGGAGTTCCTTTGCATAGTAATACTCTTGACAAATTTCTAAACTTTTTCCTTGGATATGAGTACTAAGACTTTCAATTTTAAGAACAGTATTTAATTATGCTGTCATTCAAATAGAATTGGTTCCTAAGTACAGACAGCAAGAATTCTGGAAGCCTTACCATAAGGATACCTGTGCAGAATTCTTTAATCATTAAAAAAAAAGAAAAGAAAAAAAACTTTCTCATTCCTAATTCTATGAACTGGCACTTTTCTTCCATTCCGTAAGATTAGACTTAGAGCTGCCAGTCTTTATTGATGTCATTTTTGTTTTCTGATTGTTACTACTTGTGCCTTTACTTTCCTTCCTTCTGTTTTAAGACTTCCTTTATGTGTTTTTCTAATTTTGGATTAAAATGTAAGAGAATGTGGGTTTTTGACCAAAAGTTCACTATTGTATTTAAAGTGCCTAGGGTAGGTGCTCAGGTGAGTGTTGAATGGATTGAGTCTGCCTGAGCTCAGCTTTGGCTGCTGTTTCATAATTTGTTTGTAATTACATATATGATGCTTCTATAACTTTAAAGTTACTTAGAACATCTGGTTTTAAAATTCCCAAACAGTTATTATTCCCAAATGGTTATTAGTGTATCTTAATATTAATTTTTAACTTTAATACAAAGACTCAGGTGTATACACATTCTACTTTCTAAAATTTATTAAGGTTCTATCTGGCTTAATGACCATTTCCCCACCAAAGAGACAGAAATATTTAAATGAATATGTGCTCCTGAAGGCAGGAAAGCTGGCACGCAGTGATCTACTGATGGTCTCCTATGCCTCCTGTTATAGTCTCCTCGACTTCCATAGTTCTGATGACACTTTAATGACACCTATCTAATCCACAAGGATTCAAGATTACATCATTGCAGTTTTTATCTTCAAAACCACTATCAAAGGAAATTTGCCATCTTTTTTAAAAAACTTTTTGTAAACACTGAATTCTACTCTGTTCAATATTAGTAGGACTATCCTTGTTCATTCCCCTTTTCTTAGGAATTTATGACATTTGTTTTTCCCCATCTTGCATGTCTTTTTATTTTGTTTTTTTTGGTGGGACTGGGATTTAAATTCTTGTCTTCGCACTTGCAAAGCAGGTGCTCTATCGCTTGAGCCATACCTCCAGTCCATTTTGGTTTAGTTATTTTGTATATAGGGTCTTGAGAACTACTTGCCCAGGCTGACCTCAAACTGTGATCCTCCCAAGCAACTAGGATTATAGGCATAGCCGCTGGCACCCACCTCATCCTATCTTTTATTTTTCATCTTTTGTAACCTTTCTGATAATTTGACTTTAGGTGTTTCTCATAAATGTACAGGAGTATTATCTGTTTGTTTGGTGTTTTTTTTTTCGGGGGGGGGTGTGCGGCAGGGGAGGCAGTTCTGGGAATTAAACTCAGGGCTTTGAGCATGCTAGGCAAGAACTCTACCACTGACCTGTGTATCCAGTCATTTAACTTTTAATATGGTGGTTTCAACTTATTCACATTACTTGTAGGAAACGGAGGTCTGGCTTTGTCTTTGCAATTCTGTGTTGTTACCTGCCTTAACGTGTTCCTTAGTGGTTTTGTGGTTTCCTTGATTTTCTGTTTTTTTGTCATACTTTTAGCTCATTATCTTTACTTCAAAGATTTGCACCGATCTATTCTACTTATTAGAGGCTTCTTTTACATATTTGGTAAGTATACTTGAAGCTATATTTCTCTCATTGGCAAAAAACCGAAATATATCAGTGGATACATCCCACAGTGAATTAGAAATATGGTATGCTTTGAAGTACTAATTCAAATTGGTATTGTCTAACATGTAGGGTGCCAAATGCAGAATATTATAGATTTCCTAGACTGATTGTTCAGATGTAAAATCAATACTAGATGGATGAATACCTGGCTGTACCATCACAGGTGTTCGAATAATTGCCTTTCCTAATGTTGACTGTTGGAGTGGTGTTCTAATCACCGTCATACCAGGGCGGATCTGAGGCCCTGTGATTACCTATAAATGACACAAAGGACAATGAATTAAAATGTTTTCAGAATACTAAAGCATGATGGACTTAGAATACAAGATCTTTAAACATTCTATTTTGATTTAAAAATGTCTGCAGAAATGACAGAGGCTCTTGGACATTACATTTTAAATTATATTAAGCATCAGAATAAAGATGGGATTTTGAGACAATATTTAATTGAAGTCACGTAAAATCCCTTGCCATTAAAAAAAAAAAAAAACCTACAGACTAAAAGGAAGAAACAAAAGATTCAGCAAGGCTCTGTGCTGTAACTACTGCTCACAGGAAAATGCTGGGTCCTATTTTCCTTAAACCCCATACCTGTAACCTAGAGAACGTAATAAAACCAAAGTTTTCTTTCATAGTTGTAAAAGGGAGATTACAGAGCATGTTACATCAGTTTTATGGTAGAGTGAGAATATATTAAAAACTGAAGAACTTTAAACCTTTTCCATAATACTAGGACCAAAGAAATGATGTATCTAACATGTACATGCATCAGGTGGTGTGGATGGTATTTCTCATTCTGTTTCTTAACTAGGCTGCACAGCAAGTTTCCTTGGGTGGTCCAGTGCTGACCACTGATTTATGTAACATTTTTTGTTTTTTTTAATAAAATACTGGAAAGTAATTATTTGTAAACTATACTAAAGTGCTATGAATGAAATGTTAAAAAACTAATACTTCATGTATTAACTTGCTGATCAGAAATACAACAAACATTTTTTTTCCCAATCAGTACTTTGTTACAGATGAAGTAAAAGCAAAGGAAAATTAGCTGGATTAATTTTAGAAAAGGCCATTCTAAATACTTCATCCTGCTGTGCTCAACACTCAGAAAGAAAATGAGAATAGAAATACTCTTACTTGTGATGTGCTGGTGGTTCCTCCAGAGGCTGAGGTATTAGGCCTAATTGTTACTGTTGCTGTCCTGGGCTGGAATGAAGTCAAGGTCTGCTGACTTGTACCCGTACTTGATGGAATGATACCCAGGACTTTCTGCTGTACCTGTACAACGCCTTAAAAAAAAAAAAAAATTCATTAACAACTATCCCTTTAAGGAAAAGCACAGAGTGTTGCTTGGTTTCTGAGGAGAAACTATGTGTGGCAGGGTTTCATAGTGGGCTACACAGAACGTGAGATCCGAGGACTGAAACCGTGAAAAGGAAATGAAAAATAATGGCGACAGTATGATTTGGCAAATGTGAATTAAAACTCTTCACATTTCCCTTACCTCCTTGTGTTGCTGGCACATTTACAGCGACAATCTTGCTGTTTGCAGGAAGTGGCAGTTTGGTTATTACTTTTCCTGCCATAGTGACTGGATTGCCTGTAATTTGGAACGTCTGACCTGTGCTGGCAATGGTTGTAGCAGATGTGGCAGCTGTGCTGGTGGCTAATGGGGTATAAGACATTTAATAAGCTTTACATTTAAAATAACCAGCAACGTAGTGACTTCTAGGAAGGGCACCAATGCATGAAATGTGGCTCACTTTGTATTTTTAATAAAAAACATTGCTCTCTACTCAAAGTGAACTATGTAGATGTTGAAGGTGGAATAAGGCGGGTGGGGCTTTGCGGATGTAGCATCACGAATATGATCTGTAGCAAACCACACAGTACAGCTTGGTGGCTCAACCAGGTGCAGAAGAAAAACAACTTTGTAAAGAAATGTTCATTGCAGCAGATAAAGGAATGAAAACGCTTCTCCCCAAATGAAAACAGTGTTTAATTATATCATGGATATGTACCTGAGTTTGACTGGCCTTGTTTAACCCATGTAGCGAAGGTTTGGTGGAAGTTCTTGTTTTGCTGGAATGTGACTGTAGCTGGAGACCCCACTTTTGTGGTTAGTACCATTTTAGTTCCAGGGGTAACTGAGCCACTTATGGGGGCCACCATAACTTTCTGAGCTGGAGAGAGAGTACTGGTTGTACTGTTTGTTGAGGAAGTAGTAGAAGCTGCAATGACTGTTGGCTTCTGCTGCTCCAGTCGTTTCTAGAAAAGTGAGGGAGAAAATGTGAACCAAAATAGTTCTAAATAAAAACAATTCCTTTCTTCAAGAAATTCAGATGCAATTGTTTTCACCTTAAGAGACGGCACTAAATTTCTAAGATATTTTACTTCTAAAGAAAAACTATGACAATATAAATTTACCTTCGACTTTTACTTCTTGATGTAGTATTTTCATGTCTCTGTATCACATACATTTCATTGTAAGTTGTTCATAACAAAAAAAGACAATAAAGTTTTGTGACCTGTATGGATATCCAAGCTCTCAAAATGAAAATGTAACAGAGGTGGGACAGGGCACCATGCTGCTCAGCAGGGAAGCCTAGAGCACAGAGCAACTGACAGGCCTCCTCTTTACTACAGTACGTCAATATTATTATTATCCAGGTTTCAAACCTGCAATCAAGCAAGTTGAAAAGTAGAAGACAATTTTTCTAGTCTTCTTATAGTGTTTAGTTCAAACATTTTTACAGAAAATACTTTAGACTACTTTATACAGAACGGTATAATGAGATCTTTAAAAATGTAAGGTTAAGTCATACATGGTGGTATACACCTGTAATTCCAGCACTCAGGAGGCAGAACTAGGAGGACCTCAAGTTTGAGACCAGTCTGGGCTACACAAAGAGACCATCCCTGTTTAAAACCCAAACAAAAAACCCACAAAAGGGTTAAAGATAATTTGTATAGCTTTTATTAGAGATTGCTGAAATATTCTAACAGCTCACCAGCTTATCAGCCATGGTCTAAGGAAACAGCATAAGCTTACTCCTATAAAAAGGATAGGTGGGATTTCTTGAAAACCTGGTGACAGATGCCTTCCCCTTGTCATCTTAATTAATGCTTCTGGTCACCCGAATAAAGTTGGTGGCACTGTGACTTTCAAAATGAGGATCCTCTTCTTAGGAGCAAGCTCAGCAGGGCTTTGCAACTAGCTATGGACAGAGTTACTTCTTAGCTGGAGCCTCTGATGGATATTGAGACCAAATTCATGTCACACACCTTCTGCATTGCAACCATTATCTATGACGTCACATCCAACTTGTTTAGGTCTTTTTTTTATATACACACATCGTAGACCTAAATATAATGTGAGGTACTTCACATTATTTAGCCTGATTCCTCAGAAGAAAAGGAATTCAGTTTGGGGTATGTAGATGGAAGGAAGGAAGGAAGGAAAAAAGGAAGAAAGGAAGGAAGGAAGATGAGGAAACCAAATACCTATTTATTAGTCATTTGTGGGGGATATACTTTCAAAACTGAAGTGCTGGCTATTTGAAAATAAGCATTTTATAGACATTTTAAAATGTAACATGAAAGGTTACATTGAATAGATGTCAAAACACCCCACAAAATGAAAAATAAAACAACTAGCCAGCTGCTATATGAATAGATGCTTGTGATTTGGGATAAGTTTCCCATGACAGATAACATCATATACAGAAGCCCAAAATGCTATTTTCTCAAACTTAAAGATAAAGCTCTACCATAAGCTGAAACACACATAAGAATCTGAAAAAGTTTTATAAAACATAAGATTAAAGTAGGAGTTTGAAATAGTAACTTTGGTTTACCTCAGTAACTTTTGGATAGGTATCTCTATTTATGTTAATAATATTATAAATAAACATAGATGTACTTTATCCATATCCCCAAAGTTTGTATATTTAAGTTGGGTAAAAACTGATACTATCTTCTCAATAGAAATAAGCATCTATCTGGTGCCAGTGGTTCACATCTTTAATCTTAGTTCTCAGGAGGAAGAGGTCAGGAGGATCGCCATTAGAGGCCAATCCAGGCAAAAAGAAAGACCCTATCTCAAAAAATACCCACACAAAAAAGGGCTGTTGGAGTGGCTCAAGGGGTACAGCGCCTGCCTAGCAAGCATGAGGCCCTGAATTCAAACTCCAGTACCTCCAAGAAAAAAAGAACTAAGCATGTTCTCTTTGGCTCTCAAATATTTAGGCACAATACAGAACAGTACATTGTTTTACAGTATGAAAATCCAAGAAACCATCACTAGTAACTTCATGACCATCAATTACAACTAACTTTTAGGGAATTTTAGTATAATTTACTTTTTCATAGACTATGGACATTTTCCAATTATAATTTATATTATAATTCCAGATGGAATTATAAAGATAGCAAACAACACACGTTTTATTTTAATGGCCTCCAAATCTGCCCAATATTTACAAAACTGTACCTTTGTACACTGCACCACAGAGCTATTTTTTAGTCATGAAATAAAGACATAAATAAGGTGCACTAAAAAGCCCCCATGAATATCTGACTGCTATGCTTTCAGGTGCATGAATTTGGGGAAACAGATGTGCACTTGTTGGCAGGTGGGACTCTGGCTGGGCAATCACTGCTCCTCTGGAGCCTCGAAGTCCTCCGCCACCGGTTGTTCACTAACCTTAGCCTGTTGCTCGACGGCTTGTGCCTTTTCTTTCTCCACTCTGCAAGAAAAAAAGAGCACCTTATCAAATACTACACTATCAGACATCTGGCAGCCAATGTAATGAGATCCAACTGACTATCTAAAAAGAAGCATTTAAGATAAAATTAGAAACCAACAAATGGATAACACATTGAAAATTAGAAGCGGGACTTTAACAAACTCTACAGAGAGCACTTAAAATCCAAAGTTGGTGTAAAATTAGCTAGCATGTACTGAATAAACTATTCAAGTGATAATTCTTTAATTCTGAAGTGATAAAATCTTCAAACATCTGACCAGGTGTGAACTGCCTCCTTACCTCTCAGCAAAGGCTCTGATCTCCCAGAGTTCCAGTTCTTCTTCAGCTACCCAGGTTTCAATGATAACAGGGCCAGTTTGCTTGGGTGTTTCTGGTCTCTTTGGCCGAAGTGCACTTGATCGCAGGCCTTTCCTCTGAGGTGTAGGTGTTTCTTTGGAAAACAAATTAGGGTATTTTAAAGCAATATAACTTTTAAAATTAGAGTATTGTGGCATCTCCTTTCCTATCATGAGAAGCAGCGGTTGGCAAACTTTTTTTTTTGTTTTTCATTTTTGGAGACACAGTCCCTGTAAGTAGAGCAGGCTTAACTTTAACTCGTGATCCTCCTCCCTCAACTTCCAGAGTGAGTGCCTGAGATTGCAGGTGCGGACTACTGCACCAGGCAAATCTTTTCTTCCTAAAGGACCAGGTGGTATAAATACTTAAGACATACAGGCTACGTGCTATTTGACTTTGCCTTTGTATCATGATAGGGAGTCAAAGACAATGCAAAATTAAGTCTGGCTGTGTTCCAATCAAAGCTCACTTGAAAAAGTAGGCAGTGGGTCAAGGCTCATGGGATGTGGCTTACTGACCTTGCTATAAAAGGCTCATGGCCTTTACAGGACCTGGAAATACTGCAGGTTGTAGTGAGGAAAAAATTTTTTAAAAGTTGAATAAAGAATTCAGGAATAGGGCTAGCAGTGTGGCTAAAGTGATAGAGCACCTGCCTAGCAAGTACAAGGCCCCGACTTCAAGCCCCAGTACTAAAACTGACCCACCTCCCTGCAAGAAAAAAAAAGAAACAATTATCACCAAATTTCTACTTATGAAATATATAGCTAACAGGTCAATAACAAAAGAATAGAATATTTCCTTACCTTTTGGTGCTTCTGGAACTCCAATGGGGCAAATGATTTTCCTGATGCAGTATTCAGATCGAATGCCATAGGGACCAACATCTCGCCTCTTAATTATTTCTGTTGTTGTGATTTCAGTTTCCGATGTTTCTATGGGGATTTAATTCACATACTATTAATATCATCTGAAATATTTAGAGACTAAAAGGGTACAACAGCTGGTGTTTTAAAAAAGAGACGTATGGAATAGACTTTCAGAAACATTCAATTAATGACTACAGGATCACTGCTTGACTGCAACAATACTGAGTTTCTCAAGTCATCTTGTTTTGTTTTTTTTTAAACCAGGGTCTCACTAAGTTGCTCAAGTTGATCTTAAACCCCTGGGTCCAAGCAATCCTCCTGCTTCAGCTTCCTGAGTAGCTGAGAACAAAATTTCTGAACTGAACAAAAATGCTGTAGGGTATATCTTAGCTCCCGGTGGCAACACTCAGTCAAAATACTCAAAATCCTAGGAACACGCAGCAAGCTCAGGGCTCTGGGAGCCTCAGTTTAAATGACTTGTACTCTACAATACTAAGGCAGTTGAGACTGTCTCATGTACAGTGACTCACCTTCCAATCGGAACCTTCCCTGATCTCCAGGGTTTTATGGCATGTGTCAAGCTTATGCAAAGCTGTATTTTTATAAATAACAGAGATGCTTAATAAAGTGATTTTATCTTTTAAATTCACCTCCCTCACCTGTCCGTGTAGTCCCTCCTCCTGGTGGAGCCTTTGCTGCCATATCATCCCATCTCAAACTGGCCCACAGTAACCGTAACATCAGGCTCACTCCTGCTAAGGACTTTACAGTCTGAAGTCTATACCTGAAAGAACAATCCAAGTAAAACTATAAATAAATAAATAAAATATAATACATATGAATATACACACGTATTCTCTCTCTCCCTTCTTTCCATCTACTAAATTGAAGGATTTTGTTTCTTGTGCTCATTATGACCACAACATTTATAACACAGTTTTGTAAGACTCTGGCATTGTATGTTCCTTCAAAGAACTTTTTGTTCCTAGGCATAATTTGTATCTAACAATTTAGGGCCAATATTAATTTCAAATGCCATATAAATAGACAAAGTGAGCACGTTTCATTGTAAGGCATTCCAACAATTTATGAAGATTTTAATAAATCCAATTCTAAAATATCTACAAGAAAAAGTATGAATGAAAGAAAATAAAAATAATGGCTACTATCTGGGATTAAAGGAGTTTAAGAAAAAAATCATGACTGATTAAATTTTGCTGAAACAAACAAAAGCCCTGAAAATGTATACACTTTCTTAAAATGCAAAACAAAACTAAAACATTGCCAATCGAGGAAGACCTTTCCAAATGGAAGAAAACTTTGTATCCTAATAGTGGTTCTTCAAGACCTGAACTACTGAATGAAGAATACTAGTAACATTTTAACAATATTACTGTAGTTTGGGGCTCCCACAAAGAATAATAGAACATTACTAGAAAAAGGACAATACTACTATATTAGTTATGAATCAGAAGAAAAAAGAAGTCTCGTGTTCCTGGTTTTCCCTTAAGCATTGTGTGTGAAGCTATTAAATATTTTTTCTATTCTTTTAAAAAAAATGGGGTTGGGATGTGGCTCAAGTCATAGGGCACCTGCCTAGCAAGTGCTGAGTCAAACAAAAACAAAACAACCGAAAACCCCAACCTAACACACACACACACACACACACACACACACACACACACACAC